AGTCCTTCTTTTCATTAAACTAGACATACCCAGTTCCTGCAACCATTCTTCATGTTTTATCCTCCAGTTCCCTAATCATCTTGGTTGCTCTTCTGGCACTCTTTCTAGAGTCTTCACATCTTTTTTACATCGTGGTGACCAGAACTGGATGCAGTATTCCAAGTGTGGCCTTACCAAGGCATTATAAAGTGGTATTAACACTTCACATGGTCTTGATTCTATCCCTCTGTTTATGCAGCCTAGAACTGTGTTGGCTTTTTTGGCCTACATACCTACATATGAAATAAATAAATACTTCCCAAAGGCCAGGTTGGAAAGTTACAAGTTAATCCTGTTTCTTTAAAATGGTGGAAAAGGGATCCCATCCAATTTTCTTGCCTATTCATCTTGTATCCATCGATTGATTGATGAGACGTGTATCCTTCATTTCATTCAAGAACTCAAAGTGGTATACATGCACAATATATGTTGTAGAGCGCCAATTAGAATTATTAAAGCTTCCAGTTAAGATACTGACAAATTGGAAGCTTGCAAGGCTCAAGTTTATTTGATTTTCCCCCAAACAAAAGGATCTAAGTAGCTGAAAATGATTAACATGGAGATCAATAGAAAAAGTAAATTAAATATGAAACCAATCCAGTGCTCGTAGTTCCCTCTTGAAAGGGAGAAACTGCATTGTGGTTGGTTGATGGATTGATTTTGACTGATTGATTCCACAGAGACCCCTGCAAAATAACATTTGCAAAGTGAGATGCTCCTTATTCTGAATTTTGCTTGGTCTCCTGCCTGATCCTTTGTCCTAAAAGTCATTCAGCTTTTCAGGGCTACTGAAAGTGATTGAACCCCAGGGCTGTTTTGTCTCCTAAAGACTTGTATGTTTCTGCAAAATGAAAACAAATTAAAAAGAGAGGGATCCACTCAGAAAGCATTCGGTGTCAAATTAATGGCAATAAAAAAACACATGGTATGGTGCAATAATTCATATAAATATAACTAATCTAATCATACAACACAATGCAGTCAGTGAAGACAAAGAATGGGAGAATAAAGGATGTCACTAGATCAGGTTATGCAAAGATGGGCATAGGTAGCTTGAGAGTATGTAATATGCAAATAGGTTTGTGTGTTTAAAAGATTAAAATGCAGCATTCAGAATCAGAGCTTTCTTCTATATTTGTAAAACTCTTAGCAGCAACAGGATTGCTGAGTGAAAATTTACTTTCAGGGAAAAAAGAATATATGTAAAGGCCCCTATGTGCAGCATTCATACATTTTGACTACATCAAAGGATACTTTGGGTTCAAGACTCTTTTACAAAAGTGTTGGTTTATTTAAGGCAATGTTTGACAATCTTGGCAACTTAAATGTGTGTGGATTTCAATTCCCAGAATTCCCTAGACAATAGCAATAGCAGTTAGACTTATATACCGCTTCATAGGGCTTTCAGCCCTCTCTAAGCGGTTTACAGAGTCAGCATATTGCCCCCAACNCTACCTACCTACCTACCTACCTACCTATTTATTTATCTACATACAATACATACATACATACATACATACATACATACATACATACATACATACATACATACAATACCTACTTACCTACTATCCATCTTTCTATAATCTGTCTGTCTCTTTGTCTATCATCTAGCTATATCTAGCTATCATCTAGCTATCATCTGTTGATATCTACTTTTGCATGCTCTCTTTCTTTCTATCATCTCTCCCCTCTCTCCCTCCCTCTCTCTCTCTTTCGCAACTTCTAATAATCTTCCAGGGGGAGCATATTTGCAGCTCATTACGGGCTATTTTTGAGCTTGCCTCCTTCTCCTCAAAGTTTGCTGATTTACACCCTCAGTGCTAAACATGATTATTTATTTATCTAAATGTTGGAGTTACATAATTCCCAGGGTATTTTCTTTGTAGTGCTAAACAGAATGCCAAAAGATTTTTGGCCCCTCTGGGGAAAAAAAAAAATCTGATCTCATTCTGATGGCTGCTTAAAAACAGGGCTTGATTAATAAGGACAACAAGCAGTAAACTAATTACGGTGGAAATGCAACTCAGCGAAACTTTCAGAGTTGGGGAGACCATGCATCATATTGTTTTAAGGTCCATTAATACACCTTCATTTGTCATCTTTATAGGAGATAGGTAAAGGTGATGATAAATAATGTCTGGCTTGCAATCAGGAAGTGTAAATTATCCTGTCCTTATTCTCCCCCCACCACCCCAATGAATAATGAACACCTGAAATATTGAAACTATATGTATATATACATTGTAAACGGTGAGGCGGTGCTGGGAAAATCACTTGGTTGGTTCACAAGAGTGAATGCTAGACAGTGTTCACCTTCCTCTAAATGTAGATTTTCTCAAGCTGAATATAGAATCCCTCATACTGCATCCAGTTTTGGTCACCACAATATAAAAAGAATATGGAGACTCTGGAAAGGCTAAAACGTATGAAGAACGGTTGCAGGAACTGGGTATGTCTAGTTTAATGGAAAGAAGGACCAGGGGAGACATGATAGCAGTGTTCAGATATCTCAGGGGCTGCCACAAAGAAGAGGGAGTCAAACTATTCTCCAAGGCACCTGAGGGCAGGACAAGAAGCAATGGGTGGAAACTAATTAAGGAGAGACGCAATCTAGAATTAAGGAGAAATTTCCTGGCAGGTAGAACAATTAATCAGTGGAACAACGTTGCCTCCGGAAGTTGTGAATGCTCCAACACTGAAAGTTTTTAGGAAGATGTTGGATAACCATTTTTCTGAAGTGGTGTAGGGTTTCCTGCCTAAGCAGGGGGTTGGGCTAGAAGACCTC